TGCATACGCAAACTGCGTCTTGTGGTTGTGCGTGAGCCGCGCGCCGTTGCGGCCGGCGCGAATATCGAGGGCAAAGCCGCCCGACGGCGTCAAAAAATAGTGCTCCAGGTACGCTTGCATCTTGGAGATCGGGTCGCAGTTGAGCGCGAGGTAGCTGTTGTTGTCGTCGATCGACGCGAGGCAGAGCTTAATGTCGTCGGCCGTCAAGTCCTTGGTCGCATAACTACAATGACACAAGGTGAGTCCATCCGTCAGAGCTGACAACATTGTACTGGGCACAGAGCGACGCGATCGCCGCGGCTTTTTCTTGGCGCTGGACGGCCGCGTGGGCGCTCGTGTCCGAGATCGACCGGGTCGCAACCGGGACGTCGGCGTCGAGGAGCAAATCGAGCCCGTTGCGCGCCTCGAGGAACGAGTGCACCGTGTGCGTGTCTTCAATGCACGAAAACTCAAAGTACCCTTCGACCTCCTGCATGCTCGCATCTTGCAAGAGGTAAATCATCTTGCCATAGTTGTTGCGCATGCGCTCTATGCCATCCGATGGTGAGCCGATCGAGCACGATGAGGCGAATACCGGGGTTCATGATCTTGTAGCGACGCCCAATCTCAAAGACGGCCTTGAAGAAGTCGGCGTTGTCCATGTAGGCGCGGTCCAGCACCTTCTTCTTGCCGTTGCGGAAGTCGCTCGCGACCATCATGCCCGACATGATGTTGAAGAGGTCCGTGAGCTCCGTGAGAATGCGCTTCACAGGCGACCGGTACGAGAGGATGTCGACCTTGTCCGTGTACTCGGACACGTTGAGCGACGCGTCGAGGAGGTTGAAGAGCACGCGCTCCGCGTCACTGAGACGCATCGGAATGTACTTGGCGCGACCGGCCAGCACCTGCGCCTCTTTGGTCGCGACACCACGCGCGACCGGCGGCGCCTCGCTCGTTTCGCTCATCGGGTCATCGGTCACGACCACGACGCTCGCCAAAGGTGGCGAAATCGTCTCGCTCACCGGCGACGGCGTCGGGCGCGCCGGTGTCGACGACGCCGGGACGTCAACCGCCAAGGGCGTCGACCGGTGCTTCTGCCGGTGGCCCGAGCGGTGCTGCGCCTGGTAGCACAGGTCGCAGTAGACGTCGCCGCAGTCCGAGCACGCGAGGGCGGCCTCCGTGTCCTCGCACTCGACGCACATCCGAGCAGCGGTCATCGTCGCCAGATTTTGCGTGTGGGGCCACCTGATTGTCGCGAATCCGGATCACGGCTCTTATCCGGACAACGGGCTTGCTTCGGTTTTGCGAGTCCATGCAACCGCAGGCGGCGCCGGCGATGGCGGTCGGGCCGCCGCGCCAAGCGATATCAACGACAACGTACACCGGGCTACGATGCAACAGACTCACCCGCGTCGATTGGTGCCACGCCGACGCGAGGCCATAGAGCTGGGCGTGGCGAGGGTCGATCCATTGGATCGTTGCGACGCTTCCCGACGTTGATGGTGCCACCCAACATGACGCGGCCGACAGACACGCCACAACACCAACGAGTGGACTGCGAGGCAAATCGAAAAGTGGTGGCCAAGCGACGCCGTCGACTGCCTGCAGCCAACGGGCTGTCCAGTCCCAGCGCAACGGTCTTCTCACGTTCGACAATCAATGTCCACACGCAAACTCCATAGACCGTCCAAGTGGTGCGAGCCAAGACACTCGGCATAGACCATTGCTGTATACAGACAATAATCGATCTCACGTCTCGCTGCGCAGGTCCACGATGAGTGCGAGCATGTTGTCTGCGCTGCCGCGGACGTAGGCCTCAATGACCAAGTCCTGTGCGATCTCGTACAAATCATCGCGGTCGAGGCGTTCGTAAACAAACTTGCCGGCGTCGTCGTTGGACACCGTGTCCCAGACGCCGTCGGACGCGAGAACGACGAAGCTTGCGTCGCTCGGGTGAGTGAAATGGAGGATGCTCGGGTCGTGGCTCACGTACTGCCGCAAGTGGCGGTCGCCGAGCGTGCGGGACACGGCGAGCTGGCCCATGACGCGCCAGACGCCGGCCATCACCACAAAGCCTGCACATGGATACATAGCAACAACATCTGTCGTGGACCGGGACGTACCGCCACTCGACTCGATGCGGCTGCGCTCGTTCGGAACGTTGGGCAAATGGTCCATCGATATCGCCGAGCTCACGGTGGCGTTTTGCGTGTAGAGTACGGCGCGGGAATCGCCGACGTTGGCCGACACGAACCGTCGCTCGTCTGGAAAATGCAGCAGCAAGGTCAGCGTCGAGCCTACTGACGTCATAGCCGCGGAACGAATGCAACACCGCACCAGAAAAGTCGCTGGCGCCACTTGTTTCAAGAAACCCGTTGTGGAGGTCAGCGAGTGCCTGGCGAATCGCCAGACCTTCGGCGACGGTACCGTTCATCAACGTATGATAGCCCGCATGGCTCGCCTACGCACTGTCATCTCTACCGCGTCTACTATTGCAAACCGACGGACCTGCAGATGAATGCGCAGCCGGTCGCTGAGGTGCTCCTTCGCATACGTCACGGCGCCGAGACCCATGTGGCCGTCCAGCACAGCGTAAAGATCGTAGTTGGTGCCACTCTCTCGTCGCTACGCCGATGGAGGATCGACATCGGGATGTCAAAAAGGACTACTGCAGCGTACCGGCACCACAAGCACCATGTCTTCCATGTACTGGCGACGGCCGTGAAAGGCGCCGGTGCCAGCGTCAAGCGCCGTTGTCGGCAGCGACATTGGCGGCATCGCATGCCGAATCGGGTCCGATGCATAGTGGCAAAAGGCACTTTCTGCGTCGTGGCGCCGGGCGCGCAAGTGGCGAGTGCAAGCATCGGCGGTCGCAAAGTGCCGCTTGCAGTTGCAGTGAAAGGAGCTCGGGATGTCGCGCACGTGGCGCAGAATGAAGGACGTCGAGTGTCGCTGCGACTCCAAGTACGCTTCGTGAACCTCGAGCTCGCGCCGCGTCGAAAACTCGCGGCCCGACTCGGGGCAGACGTACGGTCCCCGAAAGTACGCCTACACAAAAAACGTCTGTTACAACGACGACAACGTGTCGATCGAAACGATATATGTATAAGTGTACGTGCTCGAGGGCGTCGATGGCCGAGATGCGCTTGGCGGGGTCCCACTGCAACAGTTTATAGAGTAAATTGAGACCCCACGCGTCTTGGAAGCCCCGCTCGAGCGGATCGCGCGCTTGGATCGTCTTGTTGAACGTGCCAAAGTTGCAGTCGCTGTGCACGAGCGCATAGTCGTTGTGGTACCGGTACAACGACGGCGGTTCGTAGATGCAAAACTCGGTAAAGACATGCAGCAGGTAACTCTTCCGCTTCGTCTCCTCGCTCTAGTAGACACGACAGTGTAGGACCGACGCCATCCAAGTAGGGTTGCCTTGTGCTGGAGATGCACATCGAGCTTGGCGCGGGCGCGGGACGAGATCGCAAAGACGTGGGGCGATCCGAGAATCAGCTCGAGAAAGACGACGCCGACCGACCACATGTCGTACGACGTGGGCAGCGCCGGGTCGTACGGGATATCGCCGTGCAGCAGCACCTCGGGCGGCTGGTACTCGCGCGTCTCTTCGGCCTGCGACGGGCGTTTCTCGCCGTAGAGCCTCTCGTTGGCGTACGTGTCGACGGCCGAGCCAAAGTCTGCGCTTCTTTCAGCCGCGTTTAGGTAGGGGTAGGGTACCGGCCAGTTTGACGAGCACGGGGGTGTCTTGGTTGTTAACGAGGATGTTGGACGGCTACAAGGTGCGTTCTTGAGACGATTGCAACAGAAGTAGGACTACCTTGATGTCGCGGTGGACCATGCCCTTGGCGTGCACGGCTGCGACGCCTTGCAGCAGCTGCCGCAGGATCTCTCGGAGCACGTCGGCGCCGCC